CCCCGCCCGCGTCGCCCTTCCCGGGGAATGCTGGGAGGCGTAGTTTGGGTGGCTGCCTTGGCGCCCCTCCCCCTCCTGCTGCTGCCATCATCCTCATCATCCTCCACGCCACCGCCACTTCCAAGGCGCGGGTTGAGGCTTCTTGCAAAAGCGGGAGGGGGGGCGTGAAAAAGATGGGGAGGCATGCCTTTTCTTTTTTTGGAGGGGGGCTACACTTGCCAGCCAGCATCCTCCTCGGAGGGGGGTTGCTTAGTGGATTCTGGGAGTTGTAGTCTCCCAAGGTAGTCCACGCTCCGCTGCTGGCCAAGGTGAAGCTGGGGGTACGGTGGGGGGGGTGGGAGGATCTTCCAAGGGGAAAGTTTGCGGCTCTCGCTCCAGGTGGGAAGGGGGGGCGGCCGGACACCCACCCACAGGTAGCTTCTCTCCAGGAACTCCTCCTCCTCCTCCTCCGGGGAGGGATCCAGCCACCTGGGGAGGTAACAAGCCAGGGATCCCCCGATTCTGGAAGGGGGGGGATTGAATAAATAAAAGCGTTTGCACACGCGCGCGCGCGCACACCCATCAAAGGCAAACGTGCAAAGGTGAGCTCCTCCCGGCCTCGCCAGATAGGCAGGAAAGGGAAGCGGGGAAACTCCTCCATCCATTGCAGCCGCGAAGGAAGGGAGGAAAGGAGGCGCCCGCGCTCTCGCCTGGCGCGCGGATGGGAAAGGCGCGCATCCCGTATATGGAACCAGAGCAGGACTCCTGCGCGCGCCCCCCCCAATACAGAGAGAGAGAGTACAATACAAGGGCTCTATCATCTACAGGCAACCTCTCGCAAAAATCCTGCCTGGATTTTAAAAAAAAGGATTTTTAAAAAAGGAACCCCAGAAGGATGATGACCCAGGAAGGCTGCACGGTGGGTGCCAATTTTTTGGGGGGGGGCGGCGGCAGCGACAGCGACGAAGAAAGCCCTGGAGAAGCAGCATCCGCACCACCACCACCGTCTCCTTGCACCCTCCCTGCGGGAGTTCCCCTTCTGGGACCCGGCTCCCTGTGCAAACCCATCATAAGCCCAGGGAAAGGGGATGATTAGGTGGTTTGCCCAACGACCGGCTGGGCCGCTTTGCGGTCTCTCCGGGTGCCGGGAGGTGGGTTCCCCAGCCGGGCTCCCGGGCACCGCTTGCAGCGCCTCCGCAGCTCCGCTCCAGCCCGAACGGAAGTTTACAGGGAGGGGTGGGGGTCTGCAGAACTGACACCTTTCCCCCCCCCCTCTCTACTTGGCAGAGACATCATCTGCAGAACTGACACCTTTCCCCCCCCCTCTACTTGGCAGAGACATCATCCTCTCCCCAGGGACTCTGAAAGGGACAGGATCCCCTTGTTCTGGAAGCAAAGAGAGACAAGCAGAAGAAAGAAAGAAAGAAAGAAAAAGAGCCAACAGCTTTATGCTCCCTTCTCTTCCTCCTGGCATAATATATAAATAAGGCCTTTTGTGGGATTATAGGAGTTGCAAAAAGAAAAGAAAAGAAAGAAAAATAGAAGTTTCCTCCTGGCTGTTGAATCAGGCTCCAGGCTGTTGTCCTGCTTGATGCATTTCACTTGCATTTGCAAATACTTTTGGGGTTTTTTTTTTAAAGACTTATTAATTTGGATGCCTGGCTGCAGAGCCAGAGGTTGGGAGTTCAATTCCCCGCTCTGCCTCCTGAGAGAAGGGCCAGCCTCCGTGGCCTTGGGCCAGCTGCACGGCGGTCCCAGGGATCCCCTCCCAGAAGAAGGGAAGGGGGAAAACCACTTCTGAGTCTTCTCTACCTGGGAAACCCTGAAACAGGGGTTGCCATGAGTCAGGATTGACCTGATGGTACATGACTGTTATTTAAATAAATAAATAAATAAATAAATAAATAGGAGGCTGTCTTATAGTGAAACGGACTAACCCAACTACGTCTTTGAGAACCGATTCAGTGAAAGTTCATCACCACCAAATCCCACCCAGATGGAGAAGGACTCGTGGGAGCGCCTCTGCTTTTCAGTGACAAAACCACAACGTTAGAAAGTGTCTTGAAAACGGTCCGGCCCAACCCCTTTCTAACTGTTATTTCTGCCACGCAGGTTGTAGCTACAACATCCTCCGCCTGGCAGATGGTCTTCCATCCTTTGGCTTCAATCCTTCCAGCAGAGGAGCGCTCGCCGCCTCCTGAGGCCACCTGCTCCACCGGCCAGCCCTTCTCTCCATTCGGAGGGTCCCAAATGCTGCTTCCCTCAAGGCCACTGGGCCGGCTTTCTGGAGCAACAGAGAAGAAAGAGGTCCCTTTCCATCCCCTGCATGGCAGGCCTTCAAGTGCTTGGGAAGGGCTGTCAGGATCTCCCCTCCGTCTTCCCGAACTTGGAAATGTGACCTCTTTCTGTCCCTCCCTCCCCCCCCCTTTGGAAGGAAATGCTTCTCTTCCCCAGGCTAAACATTCCCAGCTTTTTCCCCAGCTGTTCTTTGCAGACATATGGTTTCCAGGCCTCCAGGCCATCTTTGTCATCCTCCTTTTTACATCCGCTTCCTTGCTTCTGAAAAATTCCTCAGATGTCGTTCTTAAAATGTGGCTGCTGGAATGGGACGGCTGAGCCCAGGCGCTGTCTCTTTAGCAGCGAAGAGGGAAGAAATTTCGGCGGGGAGCATGGGGGCGATAAATGCGTTCTGTCTCCGTTGTGGAGTCTGGAATCATGCTTCTTTGGAGTTTGGCGACAAGGGCGTAATATAGCAACATTGCTAAAGTGCCATAATCAGGAACAACCGTATCGATAGAATGAAGAACATTTACCCTTTTTAAAACAAATAGTATTTAAGGGCGCTTTAGACTCGGTCCAATTGCTGTGCTGCTTTCTTACTCGCCTGTTGTGATCCTTACTTCCACATGGCATAGACGACCCCTTGAGCGACCCTACTTGGTCTGACTGCTTTAAGAAGATGGGGGTGGGTGGGGTGGGACTCCTATCCTTGCCCCCTCTTGTCTCCTCCCACTTCTAGGAGGAAGATTTCAGGGGGGGGGTTGCAAATGATGCAGCACAATAACTTGGCTGTAATTGGTTTAATATTTTTGCTTCCTCCCCTGCTTTGCTACTTATTTAGTCTGTGTTCTATTGTTGTGTCAAAAACACACACAAAAAATGCCCCCAATAAGGGCCCTTGTCCCCTCCTATTTCTGGGAAGATGTTTTCCATTTCTCCCCCCCTCCCCCGCCAATCTTTTTTAAAAAAATTTCAAACTAATGCTCTGCATTAGCACTGTCATTGTAAAGGTTTTTTTATAATTACTTCTTCTGCTTATCCATGGAGCAGAAGAAGTGTTTCATTCCCCACTGTCATGAAATGGCTAGGCCGTCTTCGTAAGCTACTTAATGATATTGTCAAATTGTCAAATGAACCCAAGCAGCAGAAGGGGAATTGACAGCTGCACTTTGGTTCAATTTCCAGCTATCATGCACACTGGGAATGAACCAAAATGGAGTGACCTTGCCCACACCAAAAATGTAGAAGCCCCTGATGAGGACTCAGAAAGGTTGAAGTAGGAACATGCGGTACAAGCCTGTCCACTCCAGCAATTGCATTGTGTGATTGCTGGAAAAAGGAGTGAACCAGCCCGTCCCTGCAGTGGACGAAACAGCAAGACAAAGGCCCACCCAATTTGACTTTGGATGCTGCTCTTCTGAAATTAAGCCCAATCTTTCTCCGTGTTACGTGGCCTCAAGTCACATCCAACTTATCATGACCTTGATTGTTAAGGCAAGTAGTTTTTATCAGTGCCACTCTCCCAAATGAGTTTACATGGCTGATCAGGATTTGAACCCAGGTCTCCAAAGTCCTAGTCCATTATTCTATCCATGAGAGCACATCAAGTATCCCAGAACCTAAGCCTTACCTTAGTAAGAAGAGCTAAACAGCGAAGGGTTAAAAAAGCTTCGAGGAACTCCTGAGAGAGAAATAAAATAGCTTTGTTTTGGGGGAGGTTGAGGCTGGTCAGATAGATGACTAAGAAACAGGAAACAGCCATTAGCTCTGCTCTTTTCTCAACCAGCTCCAATTTGCATATCAGCTGCACACTGAGATCTGCCCTCAAACCAAACCAGATCTTTCACAGTCAAAAGTGACTTAAAACTTACAAGCACCCAAACCAAGTAACAAAACCAAGAGCTTATAGCTTGAGTCCTGGTGAGCAAGACGCTGCTAGGCTGCAGAGTCAAACGGATTAATTACTGGGAATGCTTGACTGGAAAGTCTCCTGGATTAAATCCCCTCCACCCAACTGATTTCCCCAACCTTTTGCTGCCCTTTGCTCTTGTGCCTTCAGGAGCAGCAGGATCTTCGTTCATTCATTGGGCAAGAAAGCCACGAAAACCTTCACCTGCTGATCTGGTTTATACCAGAGGTTCCCCACCTTGAGTCCCCAGATATTCTTGGACTGCAACTCCCAGAAATCCCAGCCAGAACGACTTGTAGTGAAGGTTTATGGGAGTTTTAGTCCACGGTTGGGAAGCACCGGTTTAGAGAGCTCTCTCTCTCTCTCTCTCTCTCTCTCTCTCTCTCTCTCTCTCTCGTTTGCCCCTCCCGGCGGGACCTTTATCTGACACTGATGAATTGCTCCTTGGTGCTTCAGGCAGGAACAAAGCAGTCTTGGCTGCTTTCATGGGCTATTTATGGGCAAGTGCAAACTCTAAACAGAATGCTTTTAAGTGGAGCCAGAAGAATGCAGGGTATGGCCATCCTCTTGAAGCCAGGATCGCTGCTCACCCATCTTAAGGGAGAGGTCCAGAAATTCTACAGCTTTCCCTTATTCAATAAGGCTGCAGGGGGAGGGATGGAGGTGTGGGGTATTTGGGGTAATTTACCCCTGTCCTCCGACCACTGCCTTATTGAATGAAGACAAGGGTCTCAGTGGAGTCTGGCCAGCTTCGTGCAGGTTTGCCCCTCTCTCGTCCTTTGTGGTTCACGGTGTCTTGCACGAGAGGAAGAGGGAAGGAGCAGTTCCGGTTTCTTTAGAAGAAGCCATAATATGACGCGCACACACAGCCTTGAAGGACAGCCTGGACCAAGATAACACGAATCACCTCAGAACAGTCCTTGGGGTGGTTTTGCGGTTGATTTTTGGAGGTTGGAGGAGGAGATTTTTGGGCCAACCCGCTGGTTCCCCTCCAGCCCTTGCCAGCACAGACAATGGGGAGGGATTATATAGGCCCAAAAAAAGATCTGAAGGCCCACGGCGTCTCAATCCTGATCTAGCTCTTGTTTAATCAGGTTTTAGGCTGCTTTTGAGACGGAAGCTCAGTATAAAGCAAAGCGTGCTGCTTAGCTATACTTTGTCTCCCCCCCCCCAGCCAGCTGGGTAGTCTGACCTCAGAAGGATAGAAGGCTGAGTCAACCTTGAGCCGGCTACCTGGGACTGAACCCCAGGTCGTGAGCACG